CAGAAGTTACCTTTTTGTAAGAGGCATTTACATTGCTAAAGGAAATCTCCAGTTATAAGTGTCTCCCTGTTTGTACCAGGAAGAGAAGGATGACTAAATCACAAGAGAATCTTCATGGAGAAGGCACCTACTTTAATCTGCATAACAAACCTTACCCTTGTTTACTGTGCTTTTCCTGGTAACCTCTCCTAACTCCCCTCCCCTCAAACACACACACCTTTCTTTCTTTTGTCTTTAGCTGAAGATGGTATATAAGGTGGTGGTTTGGGCCATTTTGGGGAGTTTACTCATTTTTCCTGAGTATCTCTCATTTATAGATGTGGTATACATGTTAATAAAATTTTGGTTGTTTTTCTCTTGTTAATCTTTTATTATAGAAAATCTCAGCTGAGAACTCAGAACGGTAGAGGGAAAATTATTTTTCCTCCCCTACACAGTACACATCATATCCAGCAGCAAACTTTATTAGTTACACTTGCAAAATACATACTATACTTAACCATTGTCTGATGCTTCCAGTGTAGGCCAAACAACTATTATCTCTCAAAAAGACTTCTGCAATAGTTTCTTAATGTATATTCTTACTTTTAAACTTTGTATTCACCATACGGTTGCCTTAGTGAACTTTCAGAGGAATGCAAATCAGGTTATGCCAGTCTTCTGTTCATAACTCTCAGAATAGTCATTTAGAAGGATTTGCAAAACTCATAGCATAGCATATAAAACCCTCCATGATCATAAAGCCCTATATGCCCTGACCTCTGCCTATCTCTGTGAACTTACTTTCTATCCTTGCTCCCTCTGCTTTTGATCTTCCTTAAACATTTTTGATCTTAAACTTGATCTTTAACTTTCTTAAACTTTTTGATCTTGCTTAAATATTCCATGTATATTACTGCTTTGGGTATTTGCATTATCTGCTTTCCTTAGAATGCTTTGCCCCAAAGAGCAACGTAATTTACAACCTGGTTTTATTCACATCTCTGTTCAAATACCATCTATTTAGAATTCTTCCAGGATCTTGTAGTGGGTTGAATAGTGTCCCCCCAAATTTATGTCTACCTGGATCCTCAGAATGTCACCTTATTTAGAAATAGGGTCTTTGCAGATGTAATCATTAAGGATCTTGAGATGAAATCATTCTGTGTTTAGGATGGGCCCCAAACCTTATGACTGCTCTCCTTATAAGAAGAGGAGAAGACACAGGCACACAGGGAAGAAGGCTATGTGAAGATGGAGGTTGAGATTGGAGATATGCTGCCACAAACCAAGGAATGCCACGGATTGCCAGCAACCACCAGAAGCTAGAAGATAGGCACAGAATGATTTCTCCCTCAAAGCGCCTTGAAGGAACCAGCCCTGGTATCTCCTTGATCTTGGACTTCTAGCCTCCAGAACGGTGAGAGAATAAATTTGTGATGTTTAAAGCCATCCAGGGCCGGCCCCGTGGCTTAGCGGTTAAATGCGTGCTCTCCACTACTGGCGGCCTGGGTTCGGATCCCGGGCGCGCACAGACGCACCGCTTCTCCGGCCATTCTGAGGCCGCGTCCCACATACAGCAACTAGAAGGATGTGCAACTATGACATACAACTATCTACTGGGGCTTTGGGGAAAAAACAAAGGGGGAGGATTGGCAATAGATGTTAGCTCAGAGCCAGTCTTCCGCAGCAAAAAGAGGAGGATTAGCATGGATGTTAGCTCAGGGCTGATCTTCCACACACACACACACACACACACACACACACACACACACACACAATAAATGAAGCCATCCAGTTTGTGGTCAATAGTTACAAGCAGCCCCGGGAAATTAATATAATCACCCAAAAGAGCACACTCACAGCTGCCCCTGTCTTTCTGTACCCTATGAACCTGATTTAGTTTTCCAGCACTCATCACAACCTAAAAATTTAATATTTTTTATTTTTAAGTTTATTTTGTTTCTCGCTGGAATGTATATGCTATGAAGGCAAGGAAATTGTCTTATTCAGTTTGTATGCACGATGTCCACTTCAGTATGTCCCAGTACTTTTGTTGACGGGATGAGTGATTCATCTTAAATAGGTACTATTTTTCCATTTTATGGGGAATTCTGTAATTTGTTTATTACCCTCCTCATTGAAATTCATTTGTTTTCAAATTGAAGCCACTATATTTTTTAAGTCTGAAATGCATATTTGTACACACATCTCAAATACAAATGTGTCTTAAAATTGATGGCACGTTACAAATATAGTTAATCTTTCCTTTTATGTGTGTGTTTGTTTATTGGCACATAATGGTCTATCTTACAATAGCAGGTGTTTTAGATTTCATGAAATTCTGTACTAAAACAATGTTGCAATTACCTCTGACACATGTCTTTGTGCATTTGACCAAATAGTTCTTTGGAATAATTCCTAGAGGTCCATCTTAATCCATTTTTTTTTTTTTGGAGTGGAAGATTCTCCCTGAGCTAACATCTGTGCCACCCTTCCCTATTTTGTATGTGAGTTGCCTCGCACAGCATGGCTTCCAACAGTGGTGTAGGTCCATGCCCAGAGAACGGAACCCAGGCCGCTGAAGCGGAGCATGCTGGACTTAACCCTTAACCCAGCCCTGGGGCTGGTCCTATCTTAATCCAATTTTGTGTGTGTGTGTGAGGAAGATCAGCCCTGAGATAATATCCATGCCAATCTTCCTCTTTTTGCTGAGGATGACTGGCCCTGGGCTGACATCCACGCCCATCTTCCTCCACTGTATGTGGGACACCACCTCAGCATGGCCTGACAAGTGGTGCATCTGGCTGTACCTGGGATCCCAACCCAGGCACCAGCAGCGGAGCATGCACACTTAACTGCTATGCCACTGGCCGGACCTATTAATCCAATTTTTGATGGAGAATTTGGTCTTCTCAATCCGTACCAGATGGAAGTTAAGCAGATTAGTGATTGCACTACTGGAACAAAGTGACAATACAAATTTTCGGTATTTATTTTGCATATTATTTCTAAAAACTGTCGTTGTGGTCAGTGTCTTCCACATTTTGCCCTCAGATGTTGTTCCACATGAGAGAAATCCAGGCCTCATATTTCCCTTTGATTTGGGTGGCAGTCCACAAATAAGTTGATTAGGGACCATAATCACTTTACTGGTGGGGCAAGTTTAGGCCCTCAGGGAGATAAACTGGCCCTGGAGGAGAAAAGGGAAGGGAGCAGAATCTAGCCAAGACATAGGAGAGGTAATCAGGCTAAAGGAAGGGCTGATAATTGACCTTCCCTTCTCTTTCCTCCTCCCCTTTTCCTCCTAATCTGTCTACCACATCCACCTGTTTTTCTTAATGTCTCTGCCCACCATCATGAAATGTTCTCATCAAGCCTACCTACCTCAAAATGAATAGATGCCCAAACAGTCTATAATGGTTATATAAATGCAAATCTGTCTTTTATTACAGAGGTCTCAGCCAAAAACTCAGAAGAGTAGAGGAAAAAATATTTTTCTTTTCCTACCATCAGAAGATATAAAGACAGAACAATTGAATAATGAATAAAATCATTTGGGTTTTAAGCCTATCAAAAAGTCAAGTATTTTACTATTTTGGTGGGGCCATTTGAGTGCTTATCATTGTTAGATATTGTTGTCTGCATTTGTTTTTATTCCAAGAAGTCATATTTATACTGGGACTGGAAGTAGTTATATTTTAAGCACAAGAAATAGAAAAAACAAAAGAGTGTAAATATTAATATGAGATATTAATAGACTACAAACGCTTAAGCAATTCCACACAGGAAGATGCAGTTTCAGGGAAAAATTATAATTAAGTTGAAAAGGAATGGGGTAGGTCGGCCCAATTTTAGAGCAAGTGTTTTCAACCTGGGGTCCATATATTGCCACAATACCTCCAAAGATAGAAATTGGAGAGGGGGTGGCGGTGGTGGTGGTAAGTCCACGAGCTTGGCTGGGAAAAAATATATTTTAATTACCTTTGACTGAACTTGAACACTTTATTATGAATTTAGGCCACAGACCTCAGTACCTGCTACTTTGTTATTCAACGGAAATCACAAATGTTTTATGTGTCATAACAATGAGTTATCTTCAACCATCATTAATACTCATTTAATTACTGATGGCAGTTACTAGGCTCACCAAAAGACTGTATTATGTAATGTGCTAACTACATAAGCACATGTAATTCTATCAAATTTATTTTTAAAAATACTTTGATAACTGTAATGTCATAATTTTTTTTGCAATTTTTCCATTTTATACACTTAAAACAGTCTGAGAAGGGTTTCCATAAATGTCACCAGATAGCCAAAGGTGTCTATGATATTCAAGAAAAAAAAGTTAACACATTTTTTTTTTTGAGATGACATCAGTTAAAAGTGTTCATCCAGCAGACAGTAGGAGGCAAGATCCTTCCACCCAGGCAGTAAAAACCATTGGCAGGGATATTCCTTATTTAGTTACAAAAACAACAAAAGTTACTTGTAATGTCACATTAAATCACCCTTTTCCATATATAACTATATTAGCTTTACTGAGAGGTCTCGGTTTCTGACAGGAGCCTGCAACACACTACATTTCTCCAACACTCATAAACAGCCCCTTTGCGGAACCATACCATAATCCTCATTTATATTTTCCTTACCCCACACACACTTTTAAGTCTGTGAGGCAGCAGTTTAACAGTCTGTGTGATTAGCAACTTTATATTTCAATGGCAATGGTTATGGGAAATATTTCCTCAAACATCTTGATTAGTTCAAGGTTTGTTAGAAATAACTACCTTGCCAAACTCTCCTTAGGCAACAGCACTTCAGATTTTAGGTGCATCCCAAACATGAGAAACCTTTCTCATGCTCCAGAATGGTGTCATATCTACAGATGTAAACCCAATATTTCATTCATTTTATTTAGCAACACTGAAGGTGGTGGTGAGCAGAGTGGCTCACAGCATAAGTACTGTTTGGAAAAATGTACGTGGCCCTGAAAGACAGCTTTCGACGGGGAGAGACTATGGCGTCATTAAGTTCTCCGTTGATCTGCAGGGGAACTGGATATCCTTGGACATGATGGTGATGCGCTGGGCGTGGATGGCGCACAGGTTGGTGTCCTCGAAGAGCCCTACCAGGTAGGCCTCGCACGCCTCCTGCAGCGCCATCACGACCGAGCTCTGGAAGCGCAGGTCGGTCTTGAAGTCCTGCGCGATCTCGCGCACCAGGCGCTGGAAGGGCAGCTTGCGGATCAGCAGCTCGGTGGACTTCTGGTAGCGGCGGATCTCGCGCAGCGCCACCGTGCCGGGCCGGTAGCGGTGGGGCTGCTTCACGCCGCCGGTGGCCGGCGCGCTCTTGCGGGCCGCCTTGGTGGTCAGTTGCTTGCCGCATCGTCTGCTAAATCCGAACCAGGGCAATAACTTTTGTACCAAAGTATTTCAGAAACTGACGAAACTAATGGCTCCCTGTGGACACACATTTATTAGTTAAGAAATTAAGCGATAGCGATCTAATGTCTGTTCATATAAACTGCAAAGAAGCTTTAAAGAGATAAAAGCTTTCTATCGTCCTTGCAGTTTTACTTTTCATCAATGGTGTTTTGTTTTCAACAAGATGGAGGATGAGTAGCTGCGACTCAGTTTTTCCGATTAAACCTCACTTTCTTCTTTTCTCACCCAGTATAAAACAAATGTTAAGTTCTTTTCCAGAATAGATGGGTGGCTCTTAAAAGAGCCTTTGGTTTGGATTCGATTTATTCGAATTGCTGTAAGCTAATCGAGGTCCCTACTTGCCCTTGGCCTTGTGATGGCTCTCGGTCTTCTTGGGCAGCAGCACGGCCTGGATGTTGGGCAGGACGCCGCCCTGCGCGATGGTGACTTTGCCCAGGAGCTTGTTGAGCTCCTCGTCATTACGGATGGCCAGCTGCAGGTGGCGCGGGATGATGCGCGTCTTCTTGTTGTCGCGGGCCGCGTTGCCCGCCAGCTCCAGGATCTCGGCCGTCAGGTACTCCAGCACCGCCGCCAGGTACACCGG